GCTGCTCGATTTCCATGTTCCTCCGCGTAGCTGATGGCCTTCAGTTTAAACTGTGCTTCGTAAGTGTGTCTCTTTGCCATTTTCAGGGTTGCGCCCACACTTCACCCTTTAGCGTTCTCATGGTGTTCTCTACTACGTCCTCCTTACAACACACAGGGCGCACTGCGCTATAGGGCGCGCCGTACTTTTTGAAGAAAATCTAAGACTTTTAAGTGCGCCTTATGGTCGTGAAAATACGGTACATCGGGGAAACCAAACGACCTCTGGCAAAGCAGATGGCACAGCACAGAAGAGCCACCTCGTCAGGCCAAGGGTACATCTGTCACCATCTTACAATGCTGTGATTGCAGCCTTTCCCCAACTCTCTGTGAATGGGACTCATGGCCACTGATCAATGTTTATTGAGTTGTGACAATTTGCATATTAAAGATCATCAAACTGACCTCACGGCTCATTGTTAGTCAGTGGTGCTAGCTTCAGTCATTATGCAAACGCACCGTTTCTAAGGCTACGTGCACACTGCATCGTTTTCTCTCTGCTTTGGTCTCCCGTCCACACTGAGACGGCGTTTTCCTCAAGGAAAACCGCAGCGTTTTCAAAACGCAGACTTTCTAAAATGATGACGCATTTTAGTCATCTGATGCAGTCAAGTGACCAATTAAAGCTAGCGGAGGGCATTATACAGCAGTTGTTTTGATTGCTCTCAATTTTGACAGCCCTGTTTAAGATTAATATCAGTTTACATGCTCCAGATAGCTTTTCTTCAAATTCTCACTCGCTTTTGTGCATGCGCAGGACTGGAACATAAGCGTTTTGGGCCGTTTCAGTGTGGACGCACAACTCTGTGAAAACGACTGAAAACACTAGTGTGGACGCGGAGCGTTTTCAAATCTATCTGGGCCAGTGTGGACGTAGTCTACGGTTGGAAACCTGCAGTCAGCTGAGACTGAAGAAGTCCCCCAGCTGAGTGCTGAAACATTTGTCCCACTGAAAGCGCTTCGTCCAGATGAACAGAATCAACTTTTTGAGTCACTTTTCAACTAACATCACATATTGCACAGTGAATTTTATCATTCTAAATGAACGGACTTTTGCATTCACAGAGAAAGATGCTGCTATCGACGTTGCCAAAAGTGGGATTCTACCCATACTGGCTCAGGCCTTACAGAGAAAAAGCAGTCTGAGCTGCCAGGTGGCTTTGGTGGTGGCAGAGATGGCCCGAGAAGGTAGAACACTTGAATACTACAAAACTGGGTGTGCTTCATAAAACAGTTTGTACAGTATAAGCTTCCTTATTTTGTCTTGTCTCATGTTCTCTTTGAAGAGCTTTAGGATTCTACAAGGTCCTTAAAACCCGTTTAACTCATGTTAAGGACCTTGTACTATGTTTATTTTTAATTACAATAATTATTAAAT